TGTCTGCCACTTTGCAGTTTATCTTAACAAGGGCTTCTCAAACCACAAAGGCTTAAAGCCTCACCCTGCATTATTAATAAAACACAGGGTGGAGCTTGGCTTGTGCCTTTAATAAAGTTCGAATAGCTGTGCAAGAAGAAAATATGGCTCAGTGCATGCTCTTCACTCTGGCCTGTAACCCTTGCTTCCTTGGTTACACACTAGTAAGATTCTTCTGAGGGGCAGAAACTGAGCTAAGAGTTGACGGGAGGAGACAACTACACCTTCATCTGCAGAGGTGCGGAGGTGGTAGAAGGAAGGAGTGGAAGATAAGCATGAAGAATCCCGGAGGGCTTCTTGGAGGAAGGGCCTGGGCTGGGCAGACTTGAGGCTATGGAAGGAAGCTCCTGGCTTTTTCTCAAGACAGCCTGTTTTCGTAAATGACACCAGTGACATGTCCCCAGGACTGGGAGGGCACCGATCCCTTACTGAACTGGCCTGAAGTGTGCAGGGGGAGGAAGCTGCTAGCTGGGGCTGATGCAGGCTGCAGCAGGCCTGGGACAAGCTGCTGGGGGCTCAGAGGGAGCTCGAGGGTACAGGCTGGGGCACTTGCCAGGCAATGGCATTGCTTAGGAGGCTCACAACACTCCCAGAAATGTTTGAGACGTGACACTGAATGATTTTCATATTATTTACTTGCACATTATCAGCAAGTGAGAAAAATGAATCAGCCTGTCTCTGAGACTTTGGCATGGCTGGAATAACTGAGCCTGGGGAGGAGGAAAGAGGGTAGAGATGCAGGGTAATCTCTAGAAGGACTAAGGCACCAGAGAAATCTCTTCCACATGAGGTCATCCTGTCTAGATATTAATGCACTCCTGCACACACGCACCATCCATCCCTCCATCCCTCTATCCCTCCCTCCCTCCCTCCATCCATCCATCCGTCAGCAGGGCAGTGGGCAGGACACCTCCCCAGTGCACTGAGATAATCAGTCTGAAAGACTGAGTTTCCTGGTCCTCAAGTCCCCTTGGACCCTGCAGTCATTTGGCTAAATGACTCTTGCTTGAGTCCCCATGACCCCCATGACAGCCTCGCGCCAGATCCCAGAGGGTGTCAACATTAAGTATAAACATATCCCTGTCCCCCAGACACTGCTGCTGCAGACGAGGAGACTTCATCTCCCTGGAGTCAGCACCGTGCAGGGCAGGCCGTATTCAGTGTCCGTGCATGGGATGGTGGGGGCAACTAGAGGCTTCCCAAGAGGTAGAGGGCTCTCTCTCATCTTTCAAGGGAGAGGTGAGCTCTGAAAGGATGCCACAAAGTGGAAGGAATGAGAGGTAAGAAGAGAGAAATGGTGTCCCTGCTGCAATGCTCTTGTCCCCTGTTGCAGGTGGGGCCACGAATGGTGGCCTGACGCCGTGCTGAGGGAGCAGAGCTGGCTTGGGGCCTGGACCCACTCAGACTCCAAAGCTCAGTGTGGCCGTCATCCCCTGTGTAATCCCCTTCCCGCAGGGCCCCCTGGAAAGCTCAGCTGCCACATGCCGTGTGCCGCTTGAATGTTTGACCCACAGGAGGCCGAGTTTACACGGCTGAGTTGATTCTGAGCCAGTGGTTCTCTGACACCATTGTGCAACACACCTCCCCTCCCAGCCCAGGAGGAGGTGGAGCGAGGCGTGATTTTTTAAATCATCTTTGAAAGTATCCACATGTTCCTGACCACAGCAAGCCCCCTCTGGACTGCACGAAGGCTCTCCTAGGATGACTGCCAAGACACAGGGGCCTCAGTGGATAGATAGATCGAGAGAGCTTTCCAGAGGGTACTTTACCATTTCACTACTGCCCTGAGCCCAGACTTCCTTGGGATCCAGCCCTCCCTGGCCTAATCCCAGATGTGAGGGCTCTAAGTGTTCCTCCGGGACCCTGGACCGAAGTGCTCTCAGTGGCCACTCTGAGCAAGGCTTCCCCAGGCCAGGGACCCCTTGGCTAGCCCAGCCTGACCCCAGAAAGGAGTGAATGCCTCTGCTGTGTGTGCAACTTAAAATAATGAAGTAGTTGTCTTAGTAAGAGGAGACAAATAAATCACCAGGACGGGATTTTCACAGTTCAGCAAGTTTGGACTCAGATACATTAATATGGAAAATTACTTTTTCTTCTGAGTGTGGCCTAGGGAATGGGAGTGGATAGGGACACCAGGGCTGGGCTTCCCCATCTGAGCTTTGGGGTTGGTTCCCCACAGCCCATCTTGACTGTGATTTTCTTCACACACTCAATTTAGAGACCTCTGACTGCTCCTCACTGGCTCCGACTTGTCACTTAGGTCCTCCAGGTGACCCCTTCCCTCAGCTCCTTCCATTTCCCTCTCTGCCTCTGTTTGAGGAGGCGGTCCTTCCTCTTTGCCTTTCCTCAGGGGTCCTCCCAGCAGCCCGCGGGGTTATTTCCTTCTAGAGCCTTCCACCTAATTCCTCATTGTGTTCCCTCTCTGAATGCTGCTTAACTGGTGCATCCGTCAGCTTTCTGTTACTGGAAAAAAAATGTCTGAGATAGTCAACTTAGAAGAAAGTGTTATTTGGGTTCATAGTTTTTGAGGTTTCGGTCCATGGTTAGTTGGCCCCATTGCTTTTGGGCCTATAGTGAGACTAGCAAGGGTGTGTGACAGAGGAATCTGTTCCCCTCGTGTGTGGGTGGAAGAGTAAAAGAGGCAGGGATGGGTCCCACAGTCCCTTCAAGGGCACACTGTCAGTGGCTGGAAAGCCTCCCACAGGGCCCCACCTGCCAACAGCGCCAACCTGTGGATGACCCGACTATAGCAGCTGGTTCAGTCGGCTCCCTGTGCCTCCAAATAGGCTGGACTTCCCTGAGGTTAGGGACTTATTCTCATGACTAGGAGCAGGGATGTGGGGTCAGACAGACCCGTCTTGTGCTTCTGTGACAGTTCTTCTCAGGGTCTGCTGTAAAAAGGGACTCTGAGGGAATGGGAAAAGGGCTTTGGACCCTGGCCATGGATAGTCCTGACTTTGAATCCTGACTGTGTCCCTTTCAGGATCCTGGAGAGGGTATCTAGCGCTCTTTTCCATCCAAATACGGGGAGCAGCTGACTTGTGCACCCAAGACCTGCACAATGAACCCATCTTGAGAGAACTGCAGCTTGGGTTTCCCAAGGAGTCCCTGGGTGAGGCGTTTCCTGTGGGGTCTCATATCTTTCCCAATTCTCCTCCCTAGTTTTGGAACAGTCCTACCCATGCTGAGCTTCCAAACCTGAGTAAGATCACAGAGACAACAAAGGACAAAGAAGAACAGGAAAGGGATAAGAAAGAGCGCAGAGTTTGGTGTTGGCCATTGAAGGTCTTTGGCCTGCAGCTTTTTGGGTGGTGTCCTTTTCCCCAGCTGGCCTCTTGTTTAAAAACTGGACGTGCAGACAAAGGCCCTCTGGGATACTCTACTAGGGTCAAAGTCAGGCGCAGCACATGGCAGCTATGTGAGCTTGGGTGGGAGGTTCTATTGTGCATGCAAAGCAGGAAGAGCAGCAATGGGTCCTCAGACAGCGGGCGGGCATGAGACTACATCAGGGAAGACAGGCACCCGGCTTGGTAAAGACAGCCTGCAGCAGGGAGCATAGCCCAGCAGCACCACCCCTGCAGCATCGTGCTCAGGATGAACAGTAACCGAAATCCACGTATCCATAGTGGGTGTGGAGGGAGGGAAGAGGGGACCAGCTCATCCTGTTACAATGCTAACTGCCTCTTCTGCCACCTGGCAGCCCAACAACACTCCCAAGCAAGGCGGCATCAAGTTTCCGGGCCTTCTGAGAAGATAGTGATGCTCAGAATGCGATGCAGCCGCGAGGAGGAGAGCGTCTGCACTGCCGGGCCGTCCTCAGGGATGCCAGGTATGTCCGCACACCACCAACCTGCAGTGCCCTCTTTGTTGTTCCTGGCTCTCAGGGGGGAAACTGAGTCACAGAGAGGCGAAGCCCCTTGCCCACAGTTACACGACGAGCATACAGTGGAGCCAGAGTGAGAGCCCAGGCAGCTCACTCCCGAGGGCAGCATCCCACTGCTTTGTTCTCAAGATGGTTACTGCTGCCTTTGTGTTCACGAAAGGGAATCGCAGTTCAAGGAGGCAGACAGACCTGCTCCAGGGCTGGAACAGGACCATGGCTGCCTGGGCCTTCGCCTGGCCTGGTTCTGTTTCTGAATCAGGATGGTTCACCAGAGCCCCTCAGCTGCTGGGAGCTGGAGCACAGCTGATTTTGTCACTTCTCAGCCAGTCTTGGAGCCGGGCCCGCAGGGAGACGCTGATGCTGGCCTCTACCAGCATCGCTGCTGCTAAAGATGAACAGGCTGGATCTGGGGCCAGCCCGAGCCTGGGCGTCCTGCCAGAGCTGCCAATGTGAACCTGCATTTTGTCGTTCACTCCCTCTGCCTGATTTAATACAACCTTAAATAATAATGGGGCAGAGGAAGGAGGAGTGAGGGAGAAATAGCCCAGCCAAGAGTCTGTGTAACAATCTCATCAAACCTGGCGTTTCCCCCTTGCTATTTGAGAAGCAATTTCTACTCCAATGTAAACATTTTTTAAAATGATGACTCCGGGCTGAGTGGCACCAGGAGCTGCAGTGTGGCACTTTGCCCTGGCTCCCTCTGGTCCTCAAACAGAGGCGAAAGGGGGCCCCTAACCATGGCGATTCCCTAATGTTCTTCCATAAACCATGAACATGGGGACCCCCTCATCACAGCTTCAAGGACAAAACAAAGCTCCCTCTGACTGGAGCATGGCAGATGTGGGAGAGAGAAGGGCAAAGGCGAAGAGGTGAGACTTAGGACATTTTTCTTGCAGAGATCAGCAGCCCTGGAACTGGCTCTGTCCAGAGCATGCTCCAGGCTTTAAGCAAGATACAGCCCAGGGCCAGGCACCACGGGGCACCCTAAACATCAGTCAAAGGCAGGAAGGGAAGGAGGCAGGGACAGAATGGGGCAGAGGGAAGGGACTTAGGGAGTCCTGAGGAATAGCGTTGGGTGGCTCCTGGGCGCACGTTCTGAAAGGGTACAAAGTTCCTCTGGCCAGGCACTCAGGCCCTTGGAAGAGCAAGATGATTGTTCTACCTGGAGGCGGAGGCGGTGTCTGCTGCCCTCTGTGTCCCCAGTGCAGGGAATGTGGTCTCTAGTAGAGTGTGTCTGATGAACAAATTGAATAACCACGTGAAGGAAAGGGCAGCTCAAAATGTAATATCTTGGAAGGAGTGAGTGAGCACATGATCCTTTGCTGTGATGGATCCCTGAGACAAGCACGTTGTAAAGAGAAAAGGTTTATTTTAGCTCACAGTTTTAGGGGCTTCTGTCCATGATCAGTTGGGCCTTAAGGAAGCACGTGACGGCCAGCACATGTGGTGGAGAAAACCTGATCACGCTGGTCTGGAAGCAAAGAGAGAGGAAGAGCTGGGGCCGCACTGTCCCCCAAGGCACATCCCCATGGCCAGGAGACCCGAGGCTGCACCCCTCAGTTTCCACTGCCTCCTAACAGTGCCAATCTGGGGCTGGGCGTTTAATCTGTGGGCCTTTTGGGGACATCGCAGATGCCCACTGTGAGGGGGTCATGGTTACGTGGAGAACAAATGTAGTAAAAGCTCAGTTCTGACTCCAAAATCAAACTCATAGAAGATCACATTTTATGTCATTCCAGGGTCCTAACACAGCTTGCATTAGGCGAGCCCACCTAATGCTCACGCACAGGGGTCCGGTATTCTCTGTGTGCTCATCACCAGCATTATTAAAGCATTTGCAATATAGAGGAAACCACGTTGACCATCATTACTGACCTTGGATTTCTGCCTCTTGGCTGGGGAGCTGAGGGTCCTTTCCCTTTTCACAGGTCAAAGCCATTCTTCTGCATAAGAGGCTTTCTCCTGCAAGTATTTCCTGACTCTCATACACAAACCGTGTCACTGCCTCCCCTCTTCCCAGATCTTTGCCTTATATCCAGATGATATGATACCCATTTATGGGCCCATTGGTTCCCTGTACTGGATGCTGAGCTGCAGGGAGAGGCTGGGTCTGTCACCCGGTATCCCACAGCACCTTGGCACAGTGGCCCTTGGGAAGAGCAGGCAGATCACACGCTGTGGCACAGGGTCACCTCGCTCTGTCTACGCCGTGTACCATGTTGCTTTGCAGCTCCTTCCACAAGGGCGGACTCTACTTCCCTGCCCTTGGTGTCTCCTTTGGCGGTTGCACTTGCTTCAGCTGACAGGATCCTAGCAGGCAGGCTGGAAGAAGAGGCGGAGAATGTGCTTGCCGGGTGGCCTGGCCCTTGTGCTTCTGCTGTCACCTGAGCCGCCTCTGGCCTCAGGACGAGCATGAGAAACACCTGGAACAGAGTTGCCCTGGTGGACCTGTCAGCCTGCCAGTGACTTGTGAATGTTTATTGTTCAGAGAGTTGGAGGCTGTTACAAAGCTATTGATGTTTAATAGAATTATTTACCCAAAAGCACAGAAAAGACCTTGTGACTTTTGTTGTCTTTATGGCTTGGCAAAGGCAGTTCAGAAAGAAGGGAACATCAAGGAGAGACTTGAAGAAGTGGTTGGTTGTCCTCCAATGGAAGACTGCATGGAGTGGGGGAGACAGAAAATCCATCCTCTCTCAGCCAGGCCTGCTGCCATTAAAATCCAAAGGACAATGACTTTTGTGGGAGAAAAAAAGGAATCAGCCTTCTCTGAAAAGCATCACTTTCCCCCATGGTTACAGAGTGTTGCTTTCCATGGCTGACTCCTGTGAGTAACTCTGAAGCCTAAAATAATGTCTGCGTGTGCCTGCGCGGGTGTGTGCGCTGCACAGCCTGACTGAGATGCCTTTTAGAAAATTGGGCTTTTCCATCATTCTGTCACAGGTTCCCTGGCCAGTGCATTGCATTACCGCTGGCATAAGGGATGGGGCGTGAGAGGTGAGCAAGCCTAATTAGGTTTCCACCCTTGCCTCTGGCTCGAGAGTCTCACCCAAGGCACTCCTTTCAAACTCGGGTGGTTCAGGAGGTGACGCTGGCCACTGAAACGTCTCACCCACTCTAACTCACAGCACTTCTTGGAGGAACTGCAGCCCTGAGCTTGGCAAAGGAACTGGGGCATGAACAACCTCCTGTAGAGCATTGTGGTGGCCCACAGCTGGGAGAGTTTTTACTTAAAAATAATAATAAAAAAAAACAAACCAAAAAACCCAAACCTCTATGAAGCATCTACCATAAGCCAGGCACTGCTTGCGCCCAAAGCAGCCCCCTTGCTGCTGTTCTTATGGAGATTACAATTCAGAAGGACAACAGAAACCTGCAAACAGAAACTAGGCCAATTTGTAACTGTGACAGGTGATGCCTGTGGGAGCCACCTGGGGCCATGAGAGCCAGGAATAGGGGGATCTGACTGGGGGCATCTGGGAGAGAAGATACTCTCTGACATCTCATCCTGGGACCGAGAGCCTTTGTCTTACCCAGGCCACATGAGATGAAGGTGCCCCACCTCCTAGGTGCCCTTGCTCCTTGTATGACCAGCGTGAATCCACTCTCTGTGGTGACATTATTTCCTTACAGCCCCACTCTCTGCTGTCTTCCCACAGCACGGAGACAAGGCTCTGGACGTGTTGAGCCACACATGTTAGTCACCTGTGGTAGTCAGATTTCAAGACTTGAGCTAAACAAAGTAAAAGGAGGAAAGGTTTATCTTGGCTCACGGTTTCAGCACACTTGGCTGTGTGTCTCTGGGCCTGTGGCAAGGCAGAACGTTACATCAGTAAGGGCATGGCCCAGGAAACTGCTCACCTCAAACCAAGAAAGAGAGTGGAGGTTGAGAGCCCAACATCCCTCAGAGGGCACAGCCCCAGTGACCTGCCTTCCTTCACCTGTGCCCTGCCTCCTACCATTTCCAATACCGCCATCAGCTGGGACCATGCCTTCTACATGAGCCTTTGGGTGCTATTTGTGATCCTAACCATAATGGCCCCTAAAGTCAAGTCCATCCCAAGTGCAGGGGATGGAAGACACTGTAGGGATCTCTCTTCCCATGTAGAGCATGGAAGGCTCCCTTTCTGATGCCCATAGACCTGGCGTTCTGACATGGACTTTGTGTTGCCCTATGTGGGCAACTGCTTGGTTTCCTTTAATTTCCCCCCTTCCCCAAAATTATTGCTGGGAATTTGGAGCGAGTTCCTAAAGCATTGAGGTGCAGGAGCCTTCAAGTCTTCACAGTTTCCACAGCGACGCTGTTGTCCCCGACCACTGCTCCCCTCACTGGCTCTCAGAGAGCAGGGCAGAGGCTCACACAGCTCCAGGGCCTGCATCCAGGAGAGACCCAGCCTGGGCCTCCCTTAGCTCTCCTGGCAGGGCACACTGTTTCTCCTGTCATCTGGCCGGGCACCAACCCAGCTGGCCTCTGCCAGACTCCACGGTGGGGTTGCGTCTCCCTGCCATGGTGGCTCTGCCCGCTGCTGCCCGGTTCTTGACTGACAGCCTCCAGGCCAAGGAAGGAGGCACTCGCCAGGCTCCCTCAGCCTGTGTCATGTGGGGCACCCTGCACAGCGCTCTGCGCCAGGGCCCAGACATAGATCCCTGTTTCCAAGTCCTTTCGAGGTTCAGGATGAGCTGTGCATTGAACTTTCTTGGCTCCCTCCCTCTGATTTCCCCTCCCACCCATCCTCTCCTCTGCTGTTAGGTTAGTCATCTTCAAACTAAGCTCTGATCGTGACATCCTGTCTCTGCTCCAGGGGCTCCCCGCTGCCTCCCCAGTAAAGCCCAACACCGCAGCCAACAAGGCCTCCATGCTTGGCCCCATCTCGCCTCCCCCATGGACTCCCAGACCACTGCCTGTCACCCACAGACCAAGGTGCTGGGCCCCCTACATTCCTACGGTCCCCACACACCAGAAGCCTTCATCCTGCTCGTCTTTATTCTTCCTGTTCCCCTTTATGAGGCCTGGTGCTCATCAGCCTCCTCCGCTTCCAGGGCTCAGCTCCATGGTGTCAGTGGAAGGACGTGGACTTCCTGTGGGCCTTTGTGTGTTGTTCCGGGGTTACAGCCCGATGTACTACATGTGTTTTCTCAGCTGTTTCTCCATCTGTGTTGAAAATCTGGGCTCCTCGAGGCTGAAGAGTCCACCATCTTCATGCCCATGCTTGGTGTTTTGCTGCAGAGGGTTTCCACGATGGGTGCTGCCGTGGAACCCACAGCAGGAGGAAGTGTGGCCCTTGCCCAGTGTCTGCCTGAGGAAACAACACACAGGAACCTAGGCTGTCACAGAGCGACGATGGAAAATGAACCAGCAGTGATGAAAACGGATCGGGGGAATGTGGAATGGGGCCACTGCTATGCAGAAACAGGGTTTGGTGACTTAAAAAATTACCTTAGGAGGGCCGGGGATTTAGCTCAGTGGTTCTGCTGCTGGCTTCACAAGTGCAAGGATCTGAGTTTGATCCCAGGTACCCCCCCCAAAAAAATTACCTTAGCAGAGGGAACAGGAGTGCTGTTCAGCAGTAGAAAACACACTTAGCAAGCCAGGCCTTGGGCTCTGTCACCAGCAACCCCTCCCCAAATTATCTTAAGATCCAGCAATCCCACGTATGACTGTATATTCAAAAGAACAGAAAGTAGGGCCTGGAATGGACATTTTGCATCCTCGGTTACAGCGCATCATTCACAATAGTCATGGGATAGAAGCTTCTTACTGTGGGCTGGGTGTCTGTGAATCTTCAGCTCTCGCATGCTGAAATCCAATTGGCATGTGGCAGTCTTAGGAGTAGGGTCTTTGGATGATGGTTAGGTGGTGAAGATGGTGCCTGCCTAAGGAAAGGTGCCCTCCAGCTCCTGCCTGTGAGGACACAGGAGGACGACGGCCGCCTATGACCTACCACAGCCCGCACTACAGTTCCACCTTACCTTACCCGATGTCAGACTCCAGCCTCCAGGACTGAGGAAGCGTTTCTGTTGTTTATAAGCCACCCAGCCCATGCGCTTTAGTATAGCAACTTGAAGTGTCTGAGACACAGTCTAAGTGTCCATTAATAGGCGAGCAGGTAAATGAAATGTGGTGCAGACAGGCAGTGAAGTGTTAGGGTTAGAAAAGAATGACTTTCCGCCCCGTGCTAATGGACAGTTCAGCCTTGATTATACGAGGTGACGCAAGCCAGCCGTGGAAGCACAGGTACACCATGGTTCCTTACGTGGGGAACCCGGAAGGCGCACTCTTGCTGGTACAGGCAGTGGGATGGCGGTGCTCAAGGACTCGGGAGGAGGCAGTGGGGAGTGATTGCTTCAATCTGGCATGATGAAAAGTTCAGGAGGTGAGCAAGAATGACCGCCACACAGCCACGTGAGGGGACATAACGAGTGAAATGATTTCATGTTATGTGTGTTTTGCCCCAATAAAAGATGGAAAACAAGAAAAGGGATAGGCAAGTAAAAACAGTGGCCCCACTCAAATGTCTTCAACCGGAAGTGCTGAAGTTGGCTAACGGATGGGGGAAGGGTAGTGGGAATGTCACTAGATGCTTGGATTCGGCTGGCAGAGGAAGGGCTCAAGGGGTCTTTTGGAGTCATACTGGCCTACACTGAGGTCCTCTACCTGACCTGCGGGCTGTACTTTCTGGTCCTGTGGAAAGGCCAGTGGGAGAGTTTCTGTACTCCTGTAGATGCCTGCCACATCTACTTGCAACTGTGAGCTGTTCTGATCTGGTCGCCTCTCCTTCCTGGAACTGGCCAGCTGCCTCCCTGCCACTCCGAGCCCCCAGGAGCTAAACCTCAAGTACCCTTCAGGCCCCGTCCTCTGTTCCAGGTGGTTCTGGCCAATGAGAGGGACCAGGAGGGCAGGAGGCCAGAGAGGTCAGGGGCTGTTTGCCTACTGTTTGGCAGTGGCCTTGGTCTTTTACGGCCATCAGATCTGAATACCTGGCAGCTGACGGGAAGAAGGGAAGGAAAAGAGAACTTCCCCCACCCTCTTTTTAAAATAGCAGACTTACTGGAAATTTCCTGCCATTCTTAGCTTACACTTTACGTGCTCAGAACCTGGCTGCCCAGGGAAGCCAGGCAATGTAGTTCTTACTCCTGGATGCAGCATATCGAAATACATCTCAGCATCCCACTTCTGGTGAAGGAGGGGAATGGACGCTGATGTCCACTGACCTCTCTGCCCTGAGCTGATTCAAGCCCCTCTCTCTGAGCCAGGGGGAGGTCAGCCAGTTGCCCTCTTTGTTCCCTCACCATGTGGAGTCTGGCTGGGCTGTTAGGGGCTTCTTACCTGTGCTGAATATACAGCAGGGGCCAAGGGTCTGCCGAGTAAAGAAGGACACTCACCCATCGGCAGGCTCACCGCTCCCCCTCTCCTGTTCCTGAGCCGGAGGGGTGGGTTGTGATGGAGACGGGAAGACGAGAGAGGGGCTGTGGCTCTGAGGCCACTTCAACACACACGTGAAGCTGGGTGGAGATTCCCTCTGAAGCGCTGGACTTGAGGTAAAGCAGAGCCTTCTCTGGATGCCAGGGTGCTGGGAACACGTGAGAAGGTTTCCCAGGGTGCCATCCGCCAAATGGGTCTTCTAAGAAGCCAGGGCTGTGAACTGAAGGAATCCAGGGAGGTCCTAGGTAGCGGAGAGCGGCTACGCCAACCCTGGCACGAGTCAGGGATGACCAAGAGGGCATTTTCCGCTTTTTGCCTGTGAGTGAGCAGGGGAACAGGGGCCATGAGCAGTGCAGCCCGGGGAGGATCTGTACCCCCGGAAAGGGAGGGTATCAGCAGCGAGAGCTCAGAAGGCCGGGTTCTGGCCTCCGCTGGCTCTGGACCTCACTTCACTGCCTTCTACTTATGTACAAAGGGGCCCAGAACTTGTCCTCCCTGAGTGTCTGTCTCCTCTTCTGCAAGAATAGCTGACACCAGCCCTTCCTTCCCTGGCAGCATCTGCACAAACCCGCACAGCACTGATCTAGCGCATGGACCCTGCGGGGGCCCCAAACCTCGGTAGCACTTCTGAGTGACAGAGTTTGGAGGTGGCTCAGTGCAGAGTTGCAGTCATTTCTGGGGGATTAAGATGCACCCCAGGAGCAAGGGAGGGGCTGGTGCACGGGGGCTGTGACAGGCAGGTAGGAGCCCTAGTTTCCTGGGTCCTGAATTATTCATGGAAGCAACCTTTGAATAATTGCAGGCCATTTTTCATTACCATTATTTCCCAGAGAAATGACTGTTGCCAAAGTCTGAACTGGGGAAGTACAGTCTATTCACCTGAGATTGCTTTCTTGAAAACTGCTTGGGATGGCCCACACCAACGACTCTTTTGGGGAGGTGTGGAAGAGTCTCTCTTTGTCAATTACTTCTGCTGCTCCTGGTGACCACAGTGAATAGTGATGTACGTTATCCTTGGGGATCCTTGAGTGAGGGAGGAGGGGAGAGGGAGGGAGAGAGGGAGGGGTTGGGTGGGGAAGGTTCTGGGTCCTGACAGATGTGGCACCAGCCTGGACTGAGATGGTTCTGTGGGACACTGGAACAGGGCAGGGAAATGAGGAGCAGGTCTCCTCCCAGGGCCCACCACATCTCCCTATCGAATGCATAGACACAGCTCCACCACTGGCTTACTCTGCGCAAGTGCTGTTCCTAGCTCTGTGCCTCAGTTTCCCTTACTGATAAATTGGGCTGGGTCTGTGTCTTTTGCAGAATTGTTATAAGGACTGGCCCAGGACTGTGCACGACTTAGAGGAGGCATTTAAAAAGATAAAAGCTGTCAACACACCTGCCCCTCCCCACTCCCCCTATCGGAGAGCCTGTCATGGGGGTGAAGTGTCGGTCTTTTTCCAAAAGCGGGGGCAGATTCCTTGGCAAGTGGTCGTAATGATGGGGCCAGCTCTCTGTGCCTATGAGTTCAGCATTCTAAGACTGTATGTGTGGGATCATGAAGTAAGGCTGGGGTAGGTTTGGGGGAATGTGGTGCAATGATACAAAACCTCAGTGAGAAGGAGCCAATCCGAGAGACCACTACTCCTCCTGGTGACTACAGGGAGTACTGATGAACAGTACACTCCAGGATTGCCGAGAGTAGATTTTAAATGTTCTCATCACACACACACACACACACACACACACACACACACACACACACACAGAGAGAGAGAGAGAGAGAGAGAGAGAGAGAGAGAGAGAGAGAGAGAGAGA